CATACCAAGAATCCCAAGCAACAATGGCAAGCAACAAAGTTCTGGGGTTGTTTGCCACCTTTGATGCAGGACAGCCAAATGGCAGAGGGGTATGGGGGTGGTGGTGAATAAACAGTAGCAGGAGATGAAGGAGAAGCATTCCCTTACCTTGATAGAACCAAGGCTCGGGGCTGGAATAGACTAAGCTGAGAATGGCTTAAATTGGGATGGATCCTTGGCTAATGACCGATGGAATTCAGTTAACAATAGCAACAGGGATTGCTGTTACTAAGCAATGCAGTCACATATGGTGACTGCATCACTTAACAACATAAATCTGGTCTCAATTGTAGTCTTAAGTTGAGGGACTGCTTGAATCACAGTTCTAAAATGTAATCAGACCTGTGCTTTGGGCAAGTTGGAGGCATTGCCCTCTGTTGTTTTGTTTGGGTGTCTCTTTTCATTAGCATAGAAACCCACATGGGGGTGAGCAATATGCAACTTCTCTTCCCTTCTCTGGATGACTTCTACCCTGTTTCTCCAACAATACGGCCTCCCCCAATAGGAAGTCCCAGCATGTTTTATAGGCATGAAATGAAATTAAGCCCCTCCCCCTAAATTAAGGCCTATATTAAAACATGCAAAATGGGGGGGGAATGGGGGGGGGCTTGCCTTTAGGAAGTACTTTTGTTGCACACCTGAATATGGTGCTGCCTGCGTTGACCCCGATATGAAGTGCCCCACCAACGCCGAGGTCAACATCCAAGCTGTCGCCACCCGCCCACCTGCCTGAAGATGCCAGGGGGGGGGAATTAAGTCACCCCCAAAAAAGACAGCCTAGCCATTTTTTCGGGGCTCAAAAAAAAATAAGACCCGGCCTTATTATATGAGAAACACGGTATGCAGTCTATGCTAAAGAAATTCCCTGGTAGAGAGTACAACTTCTATTCATTACTTCTTTTGCTCCAACCAAGATTTTGATATATTGCCTTTTGTGTGCATGTGTGTGTGTGTGTGTGTGTGTGTGTGTGTGTGTGTACCATGCATCTTTGAGTTTCAACATCTGTATTATTTTCCTCTTTAACTTTTAATTTTGAATATTATCTTTTTATAAATCTATATACACTTATGCAGGAACACAGAACAGAGAGACATATATATAAGGCTGGTTTAATTTGAGAGCTACAGAAGTATAACCAAAAATATAAATTTGCAAGAACAGAGACTTTTATTCATATGCAGTATTATGCTGAGAGCAACAGGGGGGGAATTCATAAAGTAGTAAAAAAAGGGCCAGGGATAAGAAGTTTATAATATAATGGCTTATTTCCAATATCATAAACCTTAGTAAAAATAATGCAGTGTTCTATTTACATCAATCATTCTTTCAAAAACCATAGGTATTATTTCTTCTGTAAGCATCCTACAATAGGCATCTGCTCATGGCAATGAATACGTTATGCATAGCCCTAATCCATGGATGGGAGAAATGAAGTGTGTGTGTGTCTTTGTGTGTGTGTGTGTGTGTGTGTGTGTGTTAGAATTCTAAAACTCCTTTCATGTTTATAAATTTAGAAATCATCCCTGCAACCAATAACTGTTGGAACAGCTATTAGATTAAAAGAGAGAGTACATTTACCAATATCTTGTTCTCTTGCAGCATCCTCTCTGCCAACATGTGTTTGGCCCTCCTAAAGAAGAAAAAAAATGACATGTTATAGTCGCTACAGGAAGTCTTTGACTGGATTTCTGGTCATAAATTGTTACATTTAAGCTGAGGCACCAATGTGACCGGAGCTGATTTTACAATATTTTTTTGAAGTAGTTGCTTAATGAATCACTGTCATTGTTCAGTAAATTTTGTGGCTGTTAAGAGAATGCCACAGTCGTTTCCAAACGGGGTTGTTTTTAATGAAAATCGGCAAAAAAGTGTTGCAAACTGTAGTCATGTGACCATGGGACACTGCAACCAATTGTAAAGATGAGCTGGCTTTCCTGAGTCAAGATTGTTACTACAGTAACTGTTTTTTTAGCTATTAGGAACCCTTTGGGTTGAAAAATATGAAACCATTGGGTGAGTTTCTTTTAAATCTTACAACCCTGGTCCATGGAATGGCACTGCTCCGGAGCATGTCAGAAACCAGGCCATGTAAATAAGCAAAGCCCCATCCGTGGGAAGCAGGCAGCACATGAGACCCTTCTCCCCCGATCCACAGAAAAACCTCTCTCCATGGAACCAGTCCCTGGTGCCCAAAAGGTTGGGGGCCACCGCCTTAGTGAAAGAAAGTTTAAATATAAGTTTAAGCACTTTAAAAAATTTGGGGTGGGAATTAACAGCAAAAGTTGATTAGAACTATGGTTTTGGAAAATGTCTACTATTGACCTCACCCATTTTCTAAGAGGTCTGTAGGGGGTGTGCATAAGCGTACCAAAACGTGCCTACCGTCCCTGTCCTATTGTTTCTTTTTTTTAAATTTGTATTCATTTCATGTATTTATAACCATGTTTATACTTATACCTGTTATCTAATAATTGCTTGATAAAATAAAATAAAATAAAATAATAAAATAAAATAAAATAATAAAATAAAATAAAATAATAAAATAAAATAAAATAAAATAAAATA